GTTCTGACAGGTTCTCACAGGTTCTCACAGGTTCTGACTGGTTCTGAGTTCTGACAGGTTCTCACAGGTTCTTACAGGTTCTCACAGGTTCTGACAGGTTCTGACTGGTTCTGAGTTCTGACAGGTTCTTACAGGTTCTCACAGGTTCTGACAGGTTCTCACAGGTTCTCACAGGTTCTGACTGGTTCTGAGTTCTGACAGGTTCTGACAGGTTCTAACAGGTTCTGACAGGTTCTGACAGGTTCTCACAGGTTCTAACTGGTTCTGACAGGTTCTGACTGGTTCTCACAGGTTCTGACAGGTTCTCGCAGGTTCTCGCAGGTTCTGACAGGTTCTCACAGGTTCTGACTGGTTCTCACAGGTTCTGACTGGTTCTGACAGGTTCTCACAGGTTCTCACAGGTTCTGACTGGTTCTGGGTTCTGACAGGTTCTGACAGGTTCTAACAGGTTCTGACAGGTTCTGACAGGTTCTCACAGGTTCTAACAGGTTCTGACAGGTTCTGACTGGTTCTCACAGGTTCTCACAGGTTCTAACAGGTTCTGACAGGTTCTGACAGGTTCTCACAGGTACTCACTGGTTCTCACAGGTTCTACCTTCTAGACTAAGTCTTGAAGAAGCAGAGTGAGACAGGAAGCTCCGCCCCCTCTGCACTCAGCCACCAATAGAAAAGAAGGATATGACTCCTGGCCCTGCCATTGGCTGCCTGCTGGTCCACCAAACTTCTCATTGATCATCTTGATCTGGTCTCGGACCGATCCAGGACCTGCTCAGGAACCGGGTCAGGGTTAGAGCCAACATGTGAACTGTCTGAATAAAGTTTCGTTCAAAATAAAACGTACCTGTGTCCATGTCCACCAGCTGGTCTTCACCTCGAGGTTTCTCAAAGTAGGTGTGTCTCCTGCTCTTACTGTCCTCCTCCCTGTCCCTGTCCCTGTCCCGCTCCCGGTCCCGGTGCCGCTCTTTGTCTCTGCTGGGTTTGGAGCTGGACGTGTTGGACGGGACGTAGTCCCCGATGTCATCAAAGATACTGAAATACAAACAGAAGGAAACTCTGACACACTTTCTGAAACAAAGTTTGGTTCACAGAGATACTGAAACACAAACAGAGGTGTCACTCTGACACAGTNCACGATGTCGTTGGTAGTCAGAGTGGTCTGAGCCTGAGGGACGGACAGGGACAGAGATGTGGTTCATGCTTACAACTATTAGGAAGTTCGCCTTTTCAATCACCACCTGGGACAGGTGTCTCACAGAGACAGGTGTGTCTCACAGAGACAGGTGTCTCATAGGGACAGGTGTCTCACAGAGACAGGTGTGTCTCACAGGGGCAGGTGTGACTCACAGGGACAGGTGTCTCATAGGGACAGGTGTCTCACAGAGACAGGTGTGTCTCACAGGGACAGGTGTCTCATAGGGACAGGTGTCTCACAGAGACAGGTGTGTCTCACAGGGACAGAGATGTGGTTCATGTTTACAACTATTAGGAAGTTAGCCTTTTCAATCACCACCTGGGACAGGTGTGTCTCACAGGGACAGGTGTCTCATAGGGACAGGTGTGTCTCACAGGGGCAGGTGTGACTCACAGGGACAGGTGTCTCATAGGGACAGGTGTCTCACCTCCATGCTGGGACAGTCAGCCTTGCTGCGGATCAGGGTCGTGGGGATGTCGGTATCGGTGAACTCGTCGTCCAGGTCCACCACGTAGGCCATCCTGCCGGGCAGGAAGAGCTCGTTCCTCTCCTGGACCCCCGACCTGAAGACCACCCTGAAGATG